GAATCCGTCGATTGACCTCTCGGTCGAAATTGGACTTACTTAGTCAGACTATTTGTCCCAGGTAAACGTACTCGTCAACAACTTCGAACATAGTGCTCCCAACAACTACCAGCATAGGTGTGACATGGACATTAAACATGATCTTTGTTTTGTCCATGTTCATCTTAAGACCTATCCGTTGGGAGACACCATTGAAGTCATTGAGCATAGTGCTAAGGTCCTCCAGCGATTCTGCCATAAGGACTATATCGTCGGCAAATCGAAAATGAGTGATGTACTCGCTATTGATGTTAATACCGTATCCTTTCCAGTTGAGTAGCTTGAAAACGTCTTCCAATGCAGCGGTGAAGAGTTTCGGGGATATAACGTCACCCTGTCTTACACCTCTCTGCAGTTGGATAGGTTTCGAACTCTGGTTCTGTACTTGAATAGCCATTGTAGTCCTACTGTACAAACACTTCAGCCCTTCGATATACCGACAGTCAACTTGGCACCGCTGAAGGGACTGTAGCACCGCCCAAATTTCGACGGAATCAAAGGCTTTCTCATAGTCCACATATGCCAGGCAAAGTGGCAGATTGTACTCTTCGGTCTTTTGTACAATCTGCCGCAGGGTATGTATGTGGTCTATGGTACTGACGCCTTTTCGGAAACCGGCTTGTTCTAGAGGCTGGAAGTCGTCGAGTCTGCGTGCGAGACGATTCGTAATGACTCTCGAAAACAGCACCTAGACACGGCTCAGAATAGAATCGGTCTGTAGTTCTTCAAGAAAGCGTTGTCGCCTTTCTTAAAGAACAAGACCACCGCACTTCTGCTCCACGCCTCTGGAGTAGTGCCACCATGGAGGACGGCATTGAAGAGCTTCTGAAGGACTTCAAGTACCGTGTTCCACCCGCTTTCAGAAGCTCCGCTGTAATTCCATCCTCGCCTGGGGCCCTGCCATTTTTAAGATGCTGGAGAGACATTCTTCAAATAGTGTTTTAATTTTTAAGAGCGTGACATAAATCTGTCAATTTTTTATAATTATTGAAATGAGCAGAACTTTTCTCGTGTATGCTGCAATACAAAGCTAGATGTTGCCAATCACTAATTCCCTCGCAGAATTTATTGTTATGTTTTGATTCAAATAGCTTGTAACAGAAGCAATAAACGGCATTTTTGAACACTGAATACAGCAGCCTCTCTCTGTGATACTTTTCACCGTTTCCTAAATGCCTTTCATAATAATACTCGGAAAATTTTCGCACCGAAGAGTCACGCGGAAAATTATACTGTTTAATTTGTTTAATCGAATTTTCTATAAAATACTGGATCAAAGTAGCATTGAAAACTTTTGGCCAGAGTCCAGGCTGATCTTTGAAAAAAGTTGGTATTGGTGACGATAATTGTCTTGGCGGTGACACCGGTGTATCAGGCAGAGGCACGGACGTAATTTCGGCGGCATCATTTTAAATTAAAGACAGACAAACAAAGACATATGAGTACCTATCTACCTGTATGAACAAACTGATTTATCTATCTATGAATAATTATGTATGATAAAATAAATAAATAGATGAATATTTCTCGACAGTCAAACTCCGCTGTCTAGTCCCAAGCTGAGCAGGGCTTGTAATGAAATTAAAATTTTTATTTTTATTTTGACATTGCAAACAGACTAAAGTTATGTTTGTTTGTATAGAAAATTACATAAAAAGCACGTACCTGAAGCATTTTTTGAATCAACATCTTCATCGATAAAATGACTGGTTTCTGTCTCTAATGATTCTTTGGAAGTGGATGGTAGAGCCATAAAATATTTACTTATTTTATAGTCAACCAAATCTAAGAAATACCTTTTGACGTTTCACATTAATCATTCCGCAATAACTTTGCACAAGCGTACTCACACGATTTAAAATAACATTTTACATAAATCCAAAACGAAATTTTACGCAAAGAATTATGAAGTTATCAATATTTCTTTACAACGTGTATAGTTTTTTATCACTAATTTAAATTTAAATTTTTCAAACAAAGCTAAATATTAAAAAAAAACCAGTATCAATTTTTTTTTGACTTGACGTCATATCAATGATATGTCGCTATGTACATTACCGTAGTGCTTGGATGATTAAAATTCACTGTTATGCTAAATAATTAGTTATGATAATCAGCAAAAATTAAATTCAAAAAAAAAAAAAAAGATATTCAAATAATCGAATTATTAATTTTCTTGAATATATTATTTGTTTTATTTTATTTTATTTTAAAATTTCATTACTTGAATCATAAATAAAACAAGTTTATTTTTTTTAGTTTGTCAACATAAATTTGTTTTAAATTCATATCCAAAGCCGCGCTGAAAAAATGACTACGTAATTTCAATCTCCCGCCATTTTGGGAGTTCACTGTCCGTAATTTTTTGATTTTGTGTTTGTTTTCTTATTTTGTGACCGGCTTTAACTTTTTGGACCGTTTCTTCTATATTCGTTGACCTTGGCAATTTATATACTGGACTCTGACTAAGCAAGTGATCATAATGTCGAAAGAAGGACGTAGTTGTGGTAGTCGTACTTTAAACAGTCAAGCTCGTGCATTGGTGGTAAAATTACACGAATATTTTGAACGTGAGTCACAAAACGGTGGGCCTCTTTTACCAGTGACACAAGTGCTGGATCGTGTCGGTGAAGCACTCGGGATTGGCAAACGCACCGTTGCAAAGATCGTCACTGAAAAGTACGGACCTTCAAGCAGTGAGAATAATTTACTTCACACGCTGAAAAAACGAAAAAGAACAAACCAGTAACAGGTATCAATCAATTCGACGCATAAAAGGCGAATATACTACCTATACTACCTACTGTGGCGAAGTTGCAAGTAAGTTTAATAGATGCCGGTTTGTACAGTGGTAGTGTAGAGTCATTGAGAACCATTTTAAAACGCATAGGCTTTCGATACAAAAAACTTGACAAACGTAAAATAATTATGAAGAGACATGACATAGTCTTGCAATGAATAAAATTTTTAAAAGAAATGAAAAATATAAACGATTGGGACAATGTCATATTTCTTGATGAAACGTGTTTAAACGCCAACCACACTGTAGCGCAAATATGGACAGGTGACACTACAGCAACTTGCTCGAAGGTGCCCGCGGAGAAAGGTGGGCGCCTCATAGTTTGCCATGCGGGATCAGCCGGAGGAGGATTTGTACAAAATTGTTTATTAGCCTTTCAATCAAAGAGTACAAGACATTACCATGAGGAAATGGATGCAGAAAAATTCAAAGACTGGTTTATAACACTTTTAAGAAATATTCCTGCGAATAGCAGCATAATAATGGACAACGTCCCGTACCATTATGTCCAAATCGACAAAGCCCCAACCCAAGCGAATTTTAAAGCAGATTTAATAGCATGGCTGCACCACAAAGGTGTGGAAGCGGACATGAAGTTATTGAAAGCTGAGCTAATATAATTGTATTAAAGCAAAATAAACCACGTAAACCTTTGTATGTTATTGATAAATTAGCAGAAGAGCACGGGCTTAAAGTTATAAGATTACCACCATACCACTGCCAATATAATGCTATTGAATTGATTTGGGCCCAAATCAACGGCTAGTTCTTATATGAAAATTGCAAACATATTAACTTTACTTAAACACACACACACAAAATGAAAATATCTTATGCTTTTTTACAGGCTATGTAGCACGACACAACACTAAGCTACCTTTTACGACGAAGAAGATGGAAAGTTTGCTCAAGGAAGCATGTACCCATGTACCCAGTGGTAGAAAAAAACAAAAAACATGATTATGGATGACTTTAAAAGAGACATTAATTGCATTATTGAAAATCAAATAATAATCAATCTTAACAACGACAGCTCAACTAGTAGTAGTGAAAGCGATTGAATAAATTTATTTTTAATCTAGTTTCAATCTTAATTTTTTATGACTTTTCCTCTAGAAATAAGCAGTTATGAGTACAGTAGCAGTTATAGGTACAACAAATACGAAGAAAACGATAAATCTTTTGTTTTAAATTATACGTTTCTAATTTATTCTGTTATTATTTAAACCTAACTGTGAATGATTACCAACTCTAAATAATCGATATCGATTTTTTTAAGAATCGATTATTGTACATTCTCATTTTTTGTTTGGCATGCTTGGTGCAATAAATGTGACAGCTGTCAAAAGGTATTTCTTAGATTTGGTTGACTATAGTAGTATTTTTATCACGTTCTTCTTCTTGTTTCTTTTTCCTTATTAAATTCTGGTAACCAGATAATTTCTTTTTTTACATTGAGTAATCACTCATCGTGAAAATACGTTAAAAAAATTACTAACACACAAATTATATATTGTTTTTAGAGCTAGAACTTAATTCTATTACAAAAAATCAATGCGCACCTTGCACACACTTTCAATTGACTGATTGTTCAATAGTTTTGGCACTCTTGTTCCTTGAAGTCAGGGGGGTCACGGGGACCACGCCCCGCTTGCGTCGCACGCATCACATCAGGTTACGTTCATAATTCATTCAAACAAACTCACGGCGGTTCTTTTGATTTTAACGCCGATCTCATAACTAATGTTTACTAAAACTTGAAGCGTAAAATTAAACCATATACGTGAATATTATCTGAGAAGACTTGTACAATAAGCGCATTGTAATTATGTTTTGTTATTTACAATATATTGCGCCTACAAAGAATATGTTGTTGTATAAGTGTAACAAAAATAATTTCGATGGCGGTGCCTCTATTGTCTTGATGGCTGTGTGTGTCACTTCACACACAGGGGAGGCGAGGCCCTGACTTCATCACACGTGCTCCTCCAACTTAACGTTTGTGTGAAGATGTCGAATAAAATGATGTCATGGCTTAAAAAGCAAGCATCCAAAATAAAAAAGTAAAGTGGTTATGAAGTTAGGTTATGTTAAGTGTCAAATTAAAAATAACAACAATGTGCGTTTGACATAAAAAGTTAAAAAGGATTATAAATTCACAATGGGGGTAAAAACATATAGTGAAAATATTTCAAGCAATGATTACGTATTTAATAGAAAGGCTGGTAGAAGTATAATAGAACGTCGCCCTGTATTATCACCAGACGGCGAGTATGTAAACATGAAATATAATAAATTTATAACATTTAGTGATGTTATTTCATTCTAATAATATTATATTTTTGTTACTTATAATTATTTATTGTATTGTAGATCTGTTGTGCTAATTGTAGAAAATATAGTAAGAGTATACAATATACAAACCGGAGACTGTTCTCGGACACTTGAAACGGAAACATCAATTCAAGCACTAGTAGCTGTAGAATTCCCTAAAAATGAAGAATATAATTTGTACGGATGTTCTGACACAGGTTGTGTTACAATTTGGACATTTGAGAAAGGTGCTGTGCTCAGGGAGATTGTAAGTGTTAAATAAAACAGATTCTTGTTTTTGGTATGTCATGAACTCAAAATTTCTTGTTTTTTTTTGTTTTACTTATAAAATTGAAGTAACAAAATTTTTGTTATTGTAAGTAGATGTTCCAGTCTATGCACACCTGCATCTTACCACAAACAAAAATTTCACAATTATTTTGTCATCTCAGAGGACCGAGATGAAATGTCTCATATATTATCCTAGCCTATATTTATACTAGGTCTCTTTATCGTTCAGACCGTAACACAGCGGTGCAGGTACTAAATACAGTTGAATAATATAAAATTATTAATAAAAAATATTTTTTTTATTAATAATTTTATACATAACTATAAGACTAGCTGTTCCCTGCAACCTCACCATGTAATTTAGGGTTTTAATTTTTTTGCATGGAACCTTTATCCCTTTTCTAAAATGAAAGTAGCCTAAGTTACTGCTTAGTTAGAAATATTCTTCGAAATAATTTTTTTTTCTTATTCGTCAGACATGCAGGATTCCTCCCGATGTTTTCCTTCACCACCGAGCACGTGGTAAGTCAGCACTTAAAATTGCAGTTAATAATTTCATTGGTGCCGGCGGGGATCGAACCCGGGTTGCTATGGGTAAGTACGGTATATATTTTCATATGCATTTAGTAAAAAGCTGTTATTTTGACTTTACAGACACTTCAATTTAATTTATTTGTATAGATACATACATCATATAATGGCTTCCACTAGATGGAGTGACAACCTGGTAAGACTTGCAGGAAGTTGAGGGATTCAATGGCTCAGGACAGTGTTTTGGGGCATTCCTTGTGAGATGCCTTGATGATAATAAAAATTAAAGTGATTAGTGATTGAAACTCATTGATAACATATTTTAACAAATTCATTGGTATTTTTTTCAGAATCTTCAAATCCCTAAAAACATGAAAGTGCTGACATTTGACTTAATTGACAGTAAGGAATGTTTCATAACGGCTGTAGCACCTTCTAGTAAATACATTTACCTTGCTACATATTCCATAGAAACTGGTGTCATACTTTATGAATACACAGACACAAGACCATTTTATTATGATATACTAAGAGTGGCAATTGGGTGGTGCAATGGTGATAGATTCGCAGCAATATCAAATGGAACAAAGTTGCTTTTTATACAGAATTTGTTTCAGCCCCATTTGAGAACTGAGTAAGTTAATTTTTTTTTGTGTTTCATATTTCACAAATGTAATATAATACAATGTGCTTTCTTTGTAAGATGATGCCATGTAGCCGTTGAACAGTAAAAACAGCCAAGATGGCTAATTCACTGTGTTGCCAATTTCATAACCTGTTAATATGTATAGAAATGCTTGTTGTTAGTTAGATAACTAATTTTTTATCTGTAATTCGATGATGATATTGAAGATATTGCCAGTCGAAAATTGTCAATTAAATCGCCCCAATTCAGCGCTTGTCCATTTTATCTCTATAAAACTCCGATCACATTCTTAATCTCATGTTTATTAGACGGGAGATGAAGCTGTAGTCTTCAGCAGATTTGACAGCGTACAAGCAACTGAACAGACAGATTTCCAAATGCATGTGGCTGACTTATGCAACTTCAGTACAGCTCGTATTGAAGGAGCGAGCAAGCGGAACCAGAGCTCCAGTCTTTGTCAGAGATCTGTCCATCAGAAAGAACCAACTGTCGAAGCTGAAGATCAAATGTGCTAGCATCGTTTTTGAGATTCTGAGTGAGATTGAGAGGTTCTATGGGCAGTAATACAAGTCACAGCCACACACAAGTATAACGATCCAAGAGCAAGTCTTATCCGACAAATGGCTCTCCAGCACCTTAAAAACGACAAGTCCCTGGGCGAGGATGGAGTTACAGCGGAGCTACTGAAAGTGTGTGGAAAACCGATACTTAAAGTCCTTCAGAAGCTCTTAAATTCCGTCCTTAATGGTGACGCTACTACTACGAAGGCGTGAAGCAGAGGTGCAGTGTTCTTCAAGAAACGCGAAAATGCTCTTGAAGAACTACAGTCCGATTTCCCTTCTGAGCCCCGACTACGTGCTGTTTTCGGGAGTCATTACAAATTGTCTCGCACGAAGACACGATGACTTTCAGCTTTAGAACAAGCCGTTTTCCGAAAAAGCTTTACCATCATAGAGCACATGCGCATATTGAAAGTGTACTACAGTACGCACAGGTCGGGACTGATCCCATATAGTTTCAATTTGTTATGAGCATAACAAGTATCAGAACATGTTGGTTCTAGCTTTGTATAATCTCTTAACTAATTTACTAAATTAGTGTTAGAAAGTATATGTGACTAGTACGCAGAAATCGTGTATATTTTCTGAAAATTTTATTTGCTAGACATTCTAAAAACATACAGTGCAAGAACACTATGAGTGCATGCTGTCCTTGTATACTTTCAATATACGCAAACCACATACATACCCTTCGGCAAATTGTACAGAAGTCCAAAGAGTACAATCTGCCACTTAGTCTTGTCTGCCACTTAGTTCTATTATGTGGACTATGAGAAAGCCTTTGATTATGTCGAAATTTGGGCGGTGCTGCAGTTACTTTAGGGCAGCCAAGTTGACTGTCAGTATATCGAAGTACTGAATTGTTTGTACAGTAGGGCTATGATGGCTCTCCATGTACAGAACCAGAGTACGAAACCTATCCAGCGAGTAGGTCTTAAGATGAATGTGGACAAACAAAAGTAATGTGAAGCACAAAACTCCAGCTTTCCTCCGAGGTAAAATACCTAGGTCTTACCTTGGACAGTAAACTTAACTGGAATAAACACATAGAAAACAAAATCAACAAAGCTAGTTTAACTTTCTGGCAATACAAAAACATGATTGGTAAACGATGGGGTTTGATGCCAAAAATTATACTGTGGCTGTCCAAAACTGTAATTCAGCCCATGATCACATATGGCTCTCTGGTATGGTGGACCAAAACCAATGAAGCCACCACTATACGAAAGCTTCAGCATTACCAGAGATTGGCTTGTATGGCTGCCACGGGATGCATAAGAACTACACCAACAGCAGCTTTGGAGGCTATGCTGGAGCTAACACCGCTTCATCTACATATACAACAAGAAGCAAGTTTAGCTGCCATTAGACTCAAGACCCTAAATCTTTTAAGTAAGAGTAAAGTTCCCATACAGATATAATTGATAGAATTTACTCAAAAATTCCTATCTTACAAGCCAAGTATAATAGGATCCCAAAACAATATGTATTCGATAAGAAGTACAGGATACAATTGAAGGAAACTGACCATCTGGAGGAATTGGGTCAAAGAGAGTAAAGTTTTCACGGATGGTTCTAAGACAAATGAAGGTATGGGGTCTGGGGCTTTCTCTGAAGACCTTAATATCCATATATGCACACCGCTGGGTACCCATAACACAGTCTTCCAGGCTGAATGCGTAGGTATCATCCAAGCGGCTATAGCAATAGATGCTAGGAATGGGAAAGACTTCTCCATCAGAATACTGACCGACAGTATGGTGGTACTACAAGCTCTGAGTTGCAATGTGACGAACTCGGGACTGATATACAAGTGCCATCAACGATTGAATGAGGTATGTAAGCACAACAATGTGACTCTGCAATGGATCAAGGGACACAGTGGATCTAGAGGCAACGATGCAGCAGATGAACTGGCCAGAAGGGGATCGGCTCTGGCAACTACAGGGCCGGAACCAATAATACCAATCCCCTTTGGCTATGTTCGTTCACTGGTACGTAGATACTTCAATAATTTACACGCTCAGCTTTGGAAAAATTTTGTAGACTGTAGACAAGCTAAGCAGGCCTTGCCTGAAATAAATAGTCGTCTAACCAAGGTTCTAATGAGATTGAACAAGCCACAGATCAGAATAGTAACAAGTAGAATAGTAACAACAACACAGGACATGGCTCTTTTAACAAACATTTGTTCACTATAGGTGTTACTGATAGCCCCCTGTGCAGGGCATGCATGGGAGAGGCAGAAACGGCGGCTCACGTGTTGCTGACATGTCCAGAAGTCGCTTCATACAGGGATAAACATCTCGCCACGCCGGGATCACTCCCCCGAAGTTGCTTGCAACATCAAAGGACTGTTGAACTTCTTCGGGGAAATATCATGGCTCGAATAACCATATTATTCCTGCCCACACACAAAATACGCGCTTAGACGTGGAGTTGCGGAAAACAGCCCGTCGTAAACTAACTAACTAACTAAGTAATGTGTAATGTCCATGACACACCTATGCCGGTGGTTGTTGGGAGCACTAAGCTCGAAGTTGTTGATAATTATGTTTACCTGGGACAAGTATTCTGACTAGGTAAGTCCTACTTCGACCGAGAGGTCAATCGACGGATTCAATTCGGCTGGGCAGCATTCGGGAGATTACGACACATCTTCTCGTCAGGCATACCTCAAAACTAGATTGTACAACCAGTGCCTGTTGCCAGTGATGACCTATGGATCTGAGACATGGTCCTTCACTGAGGAAGCTCAAAGTCGCTCAGCGAGCTGTGGAGAGCGATATGCTCGGAGTTTCTCTGCATGATAAACTTAGGAATGAGGTTATCTGCTGTAGAATCAGAGTGACCGACATAGCCCAAAGGATTAGTAAGCTGAAGCAGCAATGGACCAGCCATATAGCTTGAAGAACTGATAACCGATGGGAAAAAAAGGTTCTCGAGAGGCAGCCTCGTACCGGCAGATGGATAGATGGAGTGAACACCTTGCCCGGCGGGAGATCTCCCCTTTTCCTTCCACAGTCAAACTGGTAAGATATGTGGAAGTCGATGGATGTAGGTAGTGTTGCTCAAAATCGATCTTGTCTTGCAATCTTAGTCTTATTCTTGCATTTTTGCAAGACCAAGACCGCCTAATTTTAGCAAGAAAAAGACCAATACTGACCATGCAAGATTTGAGCAAGAACAAGACTAAACCAGTGAGACTCTTGCATCTTGCAGTTAGAACTGAGTGTCGTTTCAGGGATTATGGGAGTTCGGATATACGTTAAGGGACTCTATGAGACGTAAAAAAATCTATAAAAACAATTGGAAAATTGGACTTACGCGCATTACGAACAATACTAATTCTAATACAGGAGTAGCAATCCTTCGCCGGTCAAGTTCCAAAGTAGAATATTGGTGATTCAAAATTAAACCTCCATTTAATTAATACTTACAGAATCATAAATCATAACAAATTTAGAATAATATCAGTCGCTGCCCATCATGAAGACAATGCTGTTGCTGTAACAGATGCATTTGGACGAATAACAGTAATCCGAGGAAATTTATTTGACTATAGACAAGTGGCCAGGGAAGTTCTGCATTGGCATTTTTTACCACCACTTGCTGTATGTTTTTCAGTGCAAGGTAAATAATCAAACATTTCATACACCATACTAAAATGAGTAATTTAATTCTATAAAAAATATGTTTTTGACTTTCAGTTTAATATGTAATATAGTATATATGTCTATAGAATACTTAAGTATGATGTATATTTTAATGTCGTGAAATTCTTTATATTACATTGTGCAATCATAAACTGTTCTTTTTTTAGGAAATTATCTGTTATCAGGTGGAATGGAAAAAGTCTTAGTAAAATGGACTTTAGGTAATTTGGCTAATAAAGCAAATGAGAGAATTTTTATGCCCCGACTACCTGGCATGATCAGATTCATTACAGCTAGCAGCTCGCATATTGCAGTTACTCTCACAAACAATTGTAAGTAACAAAGATTCTTAAAAATAAAACTAAGTAAATGTATATAGTACATGTGTCGTCTATGAGTTACAGTGGTCATTTACCAGCAGAAGGATGGATTTTTATTTTAGTGCTATAAAAATCATGAAAAGATGGGGAAAAAATTAAGGTGCTTTTTTATATTTTATGGACCATATTATTTAATTCTTTTTATCAACCCAATAACAGACCACTCCATGATACAGACATTTCTCACAGGGAAGATTTGTCAAAATCGCCATGTTGGGCAGGTTGACCAGTGAATGTGTGAATGTAGCCTTAGACTTCCAGCAACTTTGATCTACCTAGATGCCAGAAAACACATATGGGGGCGATCCCCAAGGAATACATTGGCATTTGAGGTTTTATACTGCACTGGTCTGGTCTTGTTAGGGGTAATAATGAATAATTCCAGAATAGAATGTGAAAACATGACTGCCACAAAAATTACATTTGTTTTGCGGAAGAGGCCAGTTTGCAAAAAGGATTTAGTACTATAGACCATATACATACATTCTTTATTCACTTATTCATTCAATGAATGAATTGCCTTTCCCAAGTCTGCTAAATAATTTAAAAAAAAAGTATATCACTTTTTGTACTTATTTTATGAAATGTAATGTATGAAAATTTGACACCTCCTCACATTCAAAAATGCCGTAGCCAACGACAGTACTGCCAAATATTAAATATTTGCTTAATTACAAAAGAATTGTAGTAAAAACATGTATTTTAAATTACAATAACATTTTATATTCATAAATATAGTTGTTTTTGGTAATGTCATTGTGGGGCAACTTTTGAATGGACAAGGTGTTTTCTACATAGAGTATAATTATAATTGAAAAATAAAACTGTTTGATAGAGGTGGGTATTTTATGGACAGTACGAAAAATAAGAATATTATTTTCAGCGGTTGTGGTGGCGAATGCTCAGTTACGGGTGGTATCAACGCTGCTAGAGTGCGGAGGTCTATCTCCAGTTGCACGAGCTGTAAATACTGCGCTTGTTTATCACCGGCCACTCGATGCCTTGCTGATGGGTGGAAGAACTGGACATCTGCAATTATACTCTACTACTTCTAATAAAGTGCTTTATAATGTAAGTATTTTCGTTGTTTTTACTAATGACCTGATACTTAAGTAAATAATACCTAACCGTAAATTTTAAGAAAGTGTAAGATAAAAAAATTGTATTAGCGCAAGAGTTGTAATCAATATTTATGAATTTTTATCAAAACCAGTAAGTTATTACTGGATTTTTCATTGTTACATTAAAAAGATAATATATATTTTTGATTTGATATGATATTTTTTGTCGTAACATATTAAAAAAATTGTATAATACTTCTTTTTTTTTAATAAGGGAGGGGGCAAACGAGCATACGGCGCACCTGATGGTAAGTGATTACCACCGCCCATGAACAACTGCAACACCAAGGTAATTGCAGATGCGTTGCCGGCCTTTATAAAGGAATAGGCTCTTTTCTTGAAGGTCCCTTAGTCATATCGGTCCGGAAAAATCTCTGGTGGTAATTGATTCCACAAGGAAGTTATGCGAGGAAGAAAACTTCTTTTAAATCGCACAGTGGTGGACCGCCGGTCATCCAGATGGTATGGATGGTATCGCGAGTTTTGTCGCGATGTGCGATGGTGAAATTGTGCGGCTGGAATTAGTCCGAACAATTCCTCAGAGCACTCACCGTGGTATGATGAGAGAGGAGATGCAACATCTCTTCGCAATGCCAGTGATTCAAGCCGATCGGAAAGAGCTCGGTCGCCGACGATTCGAACTGCACTGCGCTGGATGCGATCAAATGAAAGGAGCTGGAACTGTGGAGCCCCAGCGCAGAGATGGGATCAGTATTCCATGTGCGGCCGAACCTGCGCCTTGTAAAGTTGCAGGCGGTGAGCCAGCATGAAAGGACAGTAGTCCCGCTCTGCTGAACACGCCAAGCTTTTTAGAGGCTTAAAGGAAACTGCACGTCACTCGATATGTCGATAGCCGATACTGGCTAAGGAAACAAGGGGAGTGCCTTGAAACTAAGGAGATACGACGAAGGGGTTCTCTTAGAGGTAAACGCGCAAACTTATGTGGGGGCGACTAAATCTAGTCAGAAGACGACTAGATTTATTCGCCCCCAAACAAGTTTGTCTCGATACTCGGCGACGTTTTCCCGAGAAATATTGGCACTGCCGGTGTATTAAGCATCACCAGTGCTGTCGTCTGCATAGCAATGAATGTTACCGGTTTGCAACATGTCATTGATATGCAGAGGAAACAGCGTTGGTGAAAGCACACAGCCTTGTGGAACACCAGCGTTAATAGGCTTGTAATCGAAGCATGCACCGTCAACTACGACCTTGATGTTCCGATCAGCAAGAAAACTGGTGATCCAATTGCACAATTTCTCGGGAAGCCTATATGATGATGATGATGAATACTTAACATAATGTAACATAATCCAGTAGATTACCAGCCGAGCTACCGCGACGGAAACCATACTGGCAGTCACTAATCAGCTGGTGATTCTCAAGGTACCGCATGAGCTGGCTGTTAATAATCGATTCCATTATTTTAGAGAACAAGGAGGTGATGGCGATAGGCCTATAGTTGGACGGATCAGAGCGGTTACCTTTTTTAGGGATCGGGTGCACGAGTGCTGTCTACCATGATTTCGGGACTACGCCTAGGGAGTAGGAGTACCGGAAAAGACGCGTTGAAGCCGATGCCAACTCCGGAGAACACGTCTTCAGCACAATAGGAGGGACGCCATCAGGCCCACTCGACTCGTTGAAGTCTAGGGAGAGCGGTGCTCTGCGCACCGAGCGTTGGGTAAACAGAACATCCTGTATGGAGTACTCACACCGTGGGATGGTCGGCGGTGTGTTCCCCCGTCACCAAGAGTCGAGTTGGACGCAAAGAGAGAGCTCAGTAGATTGGTTTTGTCCTTTGCGGCATGGGCCAGTGAGTCATCCTCCCTGTGCAGAGATGGGAGAGATGGCTGGCAGAAGTTCCCTTGGACAGCCTTGGCGAGAGACCAGAATGCACGTGTTCCCGAAGGAAGACAAACTAGTTTCTCGCCAATTCTGCCGATGTGCTCTGACTTTGACTTGAAAATGACACTTTTGAAGAACCAGGAAGCAGAATTATACTTCTTTTGAAGAGCGCTGGTATTTGTATCCCAAGACGTCGATGCACGAGCCTAGACCTGGTAGCACTCTTCCTTATGACGTAATGCAATTTTGCAGGAGCGACCAAACCAAGGCTGGGTTCTGCCTCCGATAGGTAGCACAGATGATGGAATAAAAAGTTCCATTCCCTATAGCACCACATCAGCGACTGAATCAGCAACAACGCTGGGATCATCCGGCGAGAAGCAAACCTGCCTATAAGGTAAGGTCCAAAAAAAAGATCGCATCCCGTCCCAATCGGCTGACCTATAACGCCAAACACGTACTGCAACCTGCAGTACGCAACCGCGGTGGGAGCGTGAGTGGCACCGTACTCCTGATCAGACAATGGTCCGAAGAGCCAAGAGGGGCATCAACGGAGGCCTGATATCCGTCCGGATGAGAGATCAGCAGAAGGTCCAACAGGGAAGGTACATGATCTTCCACATCTGGGATCCGCGTAGGCGATGTAACCAGTTGTGTCAGATCATATGCCAAAGCAAAGTCATAAACACATCTACCCGCATGATCGGTTAAACGAGAATCAAGCCTTTCAGCGTGGTGGGCGTTAAAATCACTAAGTATCACGATCTCTGAGGATGGGACCTGTCGCAACACGGAATCTGCAGGCATCTGGACGTTGTCGATCAGTCGGTCTGTGTCGGCATTACCGCTATGGGACCTATAGAGGCACCCGTAAACGCGGGGATGATCGTCGCAGTCTACGCGCAGTCATAAGATGGACAGATGTTCTCTCTGACGTACACGCAAACTCCAGCCCGGGGCACAAAGGAGTGTTCTAATTTGTACCCCGGGTAGGAGAGATATGAAGTATCAGCCAGAGAGGGACACCTGTGTCTCGGTTAGAAAGAGCAAGGACGGCTTAGCCGTTTGCAGATGGTAGTTGATTTCTGTAATAGATCCTCAAATTACAGAGGAACGGTGAGAGAAACTAAGCATAACAGTTCCTCTTTTTTTTGTTTTATATATTATTTCCAAGAAGAATTTATAGGTAAATTTGAAAGTTAGACCTATACCCATAATAGCATGTTACATATATCAAAAATAAGTCAATAAAATTTCAGTATGGCGTTTATTTTAATAGTACCCGGATGACCGAGCTTTGCTCGGTTTTTTTTTTGGAAATTACATTTAGATACAAATTACATACTGATGAATAATATTTTTTGATCTTATTGACATAATAGAAAAAACTGAACTGGTTATTTGAATAAAAAATCATCTGAGCTATTACGATCGTTAACATAGTGTCAAAATTTACCTTCAAATATTGTAGCAGTTTTTCATTGCCTGAAAACATGGACAAAAAGACATTTTCTAAAAATAAATCCTAGCTAGATCAATTTATTGCCCCCGAAACTCCCCGGAAACTATTTTTTATGAAAATCGTTGGAGCCGTTTCCGAGATACCTTTTTTTATATATATATATATATATATATATATATATATATATATATATATAAGAATTGCTCGTGAAGGTATAGGATAATGTATGTTCAGCTAAAGAATACGCGCGCGCGAACGTGGAGAAAATTTACTAGTGATATTATTTTGTCTTTAACCATGTAGTGGCCGAGTATGAATATCCACTACCCCACTGAGACACGAGATTTTCAGCAGCATCTGCTTGATAACAACTCAATATACTAAAAACTCTTCGGTTGCTAACCCGCCTGCCAAGTGTGGCAACTGTGACAAAATTCCTTTTAAATTCCCTCACTTTATTCGGCAGTGGACTTTTATAGGCTGTAATGAATGGATTGAAATGAAATGAAAATATTTAGTGTTATTGAAAAGATTTTAATGTTTACCTTGCATTTGTTTTTTGTTTCGCATTTTCTTTTTACTTTTAATTTTTAATATATCTGAAATATTTTTTTAAAGATCTAATATAATATTTTTAAAGGTCTAATAAATCTGTAGAAAAGTCGTGTCTGTAACTCTAATATTTTCTAGAAAAAATGAATCCAGGGGGCTAAAAATTTGTGGTTTTTAGAATTGTTGTCAGTCAGTCTGTCTGTCTATATATTCACGATTAACGCAAAAATCTACGAACCCGGGGCAACTTATGGGTTACTTTTTATCCGATTATGGAACTTCAAAAAGATATAAAAACGCAATTCATAAATAAAGTCCAAAATCTGGGGGCACGGGAGTGCCCCCGCCAAGTCGGGCAAAAAAGCGACACGGCCGTACCATACTTTTCTCGAAGCAATTCAGGCCATTTTCGACCCTCTATCACTTCGTTGTGGATAAAAATAGAAACCTGAATTTTTGGAAACCATTGTATAGAAATGGTATATTTCAAATTTCATTCAATTTGAACCAGCAGTTTAGAAATTATAATTAGTCAAAGTTTCTTAATTTTGTCACTCACTGACTGACCGATCATCAAAACTCTAAGACACTTCTAGCAGACATAGACGCTTCAAATTTAGAACACAATTAGTGTTTAGTGTATAAACAAGGAAAAACTAAAATATTTTTCAATTTCGGTCCAGTTTTCTAGATACACTAACTGCATAAATAACTTTGTAGTCTCATATAAATATATAGGATTACAAAGTTACATTTGCCGTGAATGAATCAGTGTACCTGTATGATATATATGTATAATATAATGGAATAAAAGGTATAGATAGGTACTTTGTTGGTAATCAAGAAGTAGAAGGTACCGGAAGGAAAAAAGTAGGACTATCTGCAAAAAGAAATGAGATGCCATCAAAAACATAAATTGTAAAAAAAAACAAGTCTCACAACTTAGTTCTTGTATCGTAAAAGGTTGTGAGATCCATATAATATCAAGTCGGTTAATTTATTCAATGCCTACTTAAGGGTCCTTCTGTCTTAAGTTATTACGTAATTTAGCTAACATAACAACATTATATTGTGACCATATCAATATTAAAAATATTTTATGTTTTAAATAAATAGTTTGACTTGGCAATAGCGCTAAGCAATCGATTTTAATATAATATGTATTACTTGTGAGATACATTGTGTTTTCATCGATGGTCCAAGTCAATTTATTTATTTAAAACATAAAACATTTTTAATATTGATATGGTCACAATAAGATGTTATGTTAGCTAAATTACGTAACTACTTAAGACGGAAAGACCCTTAAGTAGGGATTGAATAAATTAACCGACTTGGTATTACATGAATCTCACAACCTTTTACGATAGAAGAACTAAGTTGCGAGACTTGTTTTTTTTTTACAAGTTATGTTTTTGATGGCATTAGTTTTAACCGTTGAGTAATAATTTGAAATTACTACGTTCACCTTTTTCAAACACCGTCATCTAATATAAAATATAAAAAGTAGTACATTTTACCTTGTTATTATTAAATTACATAAACTCATATTTTTATTAAATTATTATTTTAATTGCAATTTGAAGGGTCAATTTATCACGTGAAAATATTGCGAGGAAATCTGCATATCTGAGAAGTAAAAAGATATTTCATCAATTATTTTTATATGTGAAATCAATCATCCCGCGTTGGAGTCAGCTCAGCTGACTCTTTTTAGTCCTAAAACTCGCTGCGGCCCGTGCCCAGATGGGGGTATTACGTAGACTGCTACTTTTTTGCTTTTAATGGTGCTATTAGCCAGTTTTTATTTCATTAATATTTTCGGAGATGTTTCTTCTATCGTAGATTTTCAGTATTTTAAGTAAGTACATGAAATTTTGTTTCGAAAATGTTGTGAGCTTAACTATACTCGATACATATAGCAGTCAAGAAAAAACCAATAATTAATATAAAACTACTACTACTACTAATATAAAAATAAAACAAATTACAATGCAATGATCATCCTGAAACTCGTAGTAAAATAAAAATTCAAGACAGGAAGTAACATTTGCATAGCATTTCTGTAACTGTAAATGCCACTCTGCTTACCAAAAAATCTCCAGAGTTGGCTCTGGAGAGACGCTTGAAGGATAAATCTTTTAAGTCGCAAAAGTTGGTAGTAAATATTAATATTAAATATCTGTGGGCACGGCAGTGCCCCCGCCAAGTCGAGCAAAAAAGCGGCACGGCCGTACCATACTTTTCTCGAAGCAATTCAGGCCATTTTCGGCCTCCTATAACTTCGTAGTGGATAAAACTAGAAGCCTGAATTTTCAGTAACCGAGTAGGCATTGTATAAACATGGTATATTTAAAATTTCATTCAATTTGATTTAGTAGTTTGAGAATTATAACTAGTCAAAGTTTCTTAGTTTTGTCACTCACTGACTGACCGATCATCAAAACTCTAAGTCACTTCTAGCAGACATAGAAGCTTAAAATTTTGAATATAATTAGTGTAAAAATCAAGGGAAAACTAAAATATTTTTTAATTTCGGTCCAGTTTTCTAGATACACCAACTGCATAAATAACTTTGTAATCCCATACACATATATAGAATTACAAAGTTACATTTACAGTGAATGAATCAGTGTACTTGTATTTATTCGTTGTATATGTGTGGTGTACAATAAAGTATATACTACTACTACTACTACTTGTATATGTGTTAGGTGTGGATAGGTACGATGTTGGTATTCAAGAAGTAGAAGATACCGGAAAGGTAAAAAGTAGGACTATCTTATCTACAAAAAATTAGATGCCATCAAATACATAACTTGTAAAAAAACTAAGTCTCGCAACTCAGTTCTTCTATCGTAAAAAGTTGTGAGATGCATGTAATACCAAGTCGGTTAATTTATTCAGTCCCTACTTAAGGGTCCTTTCTTAAGTTATTACCTAATTAGCTAACCTAACAAAATTTTATAGTGACCATTTCAATGTTACTCGTAAAAATCTTTTATGTTTAAATATATAGATTGACTTGGCAACCGCACTAAGCAATATGTATTACTTGTGAGATACATTGTGTTTTCATGCGATGGCCAAGTCAATCTATATATTTAAACATAGCTGGCGCCACTTAAAAAGAGGGGTAGTATTTGATAGATTTCATAGTGGAGAAGCTAATTTGTTTGTTATATTAGTTATATCTTATGTTAATTAGTATAAAAATAAATAAACCAAGCCACAAATATTAATAAAAGTAGTATAATTAAAAAAAAGTGTTTAAAGGGTGGAAAAAAATGATGAGCAAACCACTGAGGCATTGTTTTGTATATAGTTATAATACTCTTGGAACTGATAAACTATTTTTTTGATGATTTGATTGACTTCTCAATTTAATGACGATGTATAACAAAAAACTTCACGTCAATGTCAGCTAGCGACATCTGGTGAGCGAAAGATTATTAGCTCTCATTGCCACGATGGATTGGCGATCAGACCAGAAGTTGCGCTCCTTTGATGCTTCTTGACGTCGCTGGTCTGGGTATTTACATTTGGCTTTTAGGAGACGATATAATGGCGACTATCGAAATCTATGCCATCTTTATGGCCTTTTATATAGTTGCCAATAGGTGAAGAGTGATATAAACTAACCCACGAGTCGAAAGGATAGTTTCTTTTGCGCCGTTATAACAAGCAGTGTACCGCGGCTGATACGATTGACTGATTACGAACCAAATAATTTTGTATTCATTCCACAGATCGACATAACAGACATGAACAGCATACCGGCAGAGAGACAAAATTTACTACCACTGGAGACAGAAATAACATGTGCTACCGTCAGTGGCAATGGGTCATGGCTCGTAACTTCTGAATACAGGAACGACGGTGTCAACTACCCAGAAGAAAAACTTAAATTCTGGTCCGCACAGTTAAAGAATACGTCGCCCTTCAAACTAAATACGTGCGTCAACCTTTCACACGGCGGATGCAATATTGTGTGTTTAGCCATCAATTTCAGAGGCGAATTTTGCGTATCAGCTGGCAAGGATCAAAAAATTCGAATATGGAGACGAGAGAACACTTTAGAACAACATCGAAAGAAAGTCGTTTGGAGTTGTATCACTGCCTGTTACTACTCATCGGGGACTGCACATTTTCTATCGCACGGTATACTGAATAATTTCAAAATAGGCGAGAAGATGAATAAGGGCAGGATGGAAAGTATGCCTTATTTGAAAGAAATTGAAAAGGAAAACGATGTAATCGCAAAGATATTCAATATACACAAAGAAAATTTTGTAGACGATAACGTATTGAGCCAAGGCATGAATAAGGATAAGGAGTTTGATATGGGAGGAGTGGCCATTTCTCAAGATGGATCGTTGATCGCCGCATGGTTCGGCTGCAAGTTAACGCTGTGGGACACGCATTTGTGCAATCTGAGAACGTCTCTGTCCCATCCCGCTTTACGGCCTAAAGGCGAACACGTTCAATTTGGAAGCAATGACGCCGCACATTACGTAAGTATAAAATATATAATTATATAAATATGTGATAATGATAATATAGAATAAGGGTGTCAAAAAAACACAGTTCACTTGTAGGTAATTGGATGCTCTGGCCCATAGACATCTAATCTCGATTAAGAATAAACATGCAAGTGCTTTTCACCCCTGAGTATTAGTATAGAAATTCTCATTTCAAGTAAAAATGGTCTCCGGTTCTCTACACTTATCATACAAAACACTGGAGGCATTAAGCTACCATTTGACGTTGGTATTCTGTGTGCGTGTGCTCTTTCCCGGTGGTTCCCCGAGTTTTCGGGCCGACCTATTCAAATTTAACTCAGGTATGGTGGATACTAAAACTGTGGTCGTCTTGAAAATAGGAAATTAATTTTACTTATACTTGCTTGGCCCTGAAAAAGGAGAAATCGGTCACAACTCCTCAAATTGAGCAACTTATCTCTCTTTTCCTTGGACAACCAAATTGATGACTGAGATGTGATTTATGTTTCTGTTTTGAGACATTTAGAGGTGACGGCATAGAAAATATGGTCGTTATCATTTGAAACTCCATTTTAATAAATTACATTCATTTCACCTTAATATTTTATTTATTTACTGAATAAACTGACCCGGCTTCGACATTAGGGTACATTGTAAGTTACTAGAACAGAAAGCATCTGCAATAAATACATTAAAGAAACTTTGTTATGGTATGTTAGCCTTTTGGTTGTTAGCGTCATCTAATTCAGGGCTGCGAGCTGTATGAAAAGTTTATTGTGTGGGCAGGATGAATCTAGGCATTTTATAATTACAAATTAATATTTTGAATCTTGGAAAATAATTGATTAACTTTAAGAATCTCAAAATTGATTTACAGCTTGTGTGCACGACGGAAAAATGTCTAGCCGTCTGGAGCTTGCTGTCTTTAACAGTAAAATGGTATGTTCAATTAAAAACGACATGTCTGGCTGCTGACCCCGCGACAAACAAGATGGCTGTTATATCTGAGAATAATGATGGTAAGAAAAAGTAATGCACAATGTTTGTATTGAAACCAAAATAGGATATGTGCAGCAGTATTTTCCATATAAAAATCAGTAAAATATAAACTCCTTTTCCAACCCGCCTGCCCAGTGTGGCAACTATGGCACATAATAAATAATAGTACCACGACTATGGTAAATATCAACGACGCAATTTATGGGAGGCCTATTAGCAATGGACTTTGATAGGCTGTAATGATGATGATATCTTAGGTTTTGTCTTTTTTCCTTATTTTTGTATATATTCTTCGTGCTGTCCCAAAAAACGATGTTTTCTTTATTTTTTTTACATATTACATAACATATAGGTATAAGGTTCTTCTATTAGGTGTGTTTGTTACCGAACTTCTAAAAGACTGGATCGACTTTGATGAGATTTTTGTGTGTTTGCGTGAATAGTTTATCTTCACAATTGGACCCGGTAGGTGGCGCTGTTGTCGAGATCGAGAAAACTTAATCGTTTCATTAAATTAATTTTAATATTTATGTAGAATACCTATTTTTTCAATTTACAGTGTATGTCTTCACTCCTCACAGTTCCGCTCCATTAATGGTTCATAAATGCCTATTGAATCCTCGAACTGGTGTCTTCAAGCAGTGCACTTTTGGAGCCTCTACGAAAGAGGATGTACGACTTTATATGATGAGAAATGATTCCGTAAGTTCCGCATATATAGCTTTTCCAAGGCTTATTTAAATATTTTTTTGGGGTTCTATTCCCCCTGATATTTCGGTTCAAAGCTCCACTTGATGTTTCTGATGTCCAAGTCAATCATTATCTGTTTCATCCCCAGGACCCTATATAGGTGCTTATTATTAGGGGATGGGGTGTGTCTGTTATTACCACTGATCTCAAAATATGATATGTGATGGGATAAGGTCTTGAAAGAAACTGTTGGAATGGAGAATTTACTTATTTTCAATTGTCAAAGGTGACACTATAGTGCGTTACATTTGTTTTATCCTTACATGTAATGGTAATGGTAGATTTACATATATTTATTAACTAATCAGCTAATCGCTAAGTATATTATTAAATATATATATTTGAGATAAATCAGTATAAACACATCACAAATCATGCAATTACAGTAATTACCTATAATAGTACAAGATACACATAACATACCATATGTACCGACTATCTAGTTATTTGATTAGAAACTCTTTTAGTGTTCTTTTAGATATATTTACCTTATATTATTTTACTTTATTTAAAAAAGTGAGTGGAGCTCGTTAAGTAAAGAGGGGAGCAGGTATTCCCATGTGCGCTTGCCATAAATGTTTTTGTAAGTTGGAAGTTTAAATGTAGGTAAACTGTTAAACTTACGTAGGGTTTCAGGTCTACTATATATTTTTTAATTTACTAAAATGCTCCCGCTCTTAACATAAGACGGTCAATTTAATTTCTTCATTTACATTTAATGTTCTACAATGAAATGAAATTTATTAACATACATTACAAAGTGAAAATATAGCAGAATTTGCAAGTTAGGGAAAATTTTTCATTTTCCGCCATTTTAAGGTCCCGAGCGAACGGGAGTATAACATGTCGCGACCTCTCTGAGCTAGCGGGGTAGGTAAACTGTTTAACTTACGTAGGGTTTCAGGTCTACTATATTTTTTTTTAATTTACTCAAATGCTCCCGCTCTTCACATAAGACGGTCAATTTAATTTCTTCATTTACATTTAATGTTCTACAATGAAATGAAATTTATTAACATACATTACAAAGTGAAAATATAGCAGAATTTGCAAGTTAGGGAAAATTTTTCATTTTCCGCCATTTTAAGGTCCCGAGCGAACGGGAGTATAACATGTCGCGACCTCTCTGAGCTAGCGGGGTAGGCAAACTGTTTAACTTACGTAGGGTGTCAGGTCTACTATATTTTTTTTAATTTACTCAAATGCTCCCGCTCTTCACATAAGACGGTCAATTTAATTTCTTCATTTACATTTAATGTTCTACAACGAAATGAAATTTATTAATATACATTACATTATTGTTACAATTATTTTTGAGCTCTGAAGCCTGCGTTAGTAAAAACTGTGCTACAGGCCTCAGACTTCCCTATTGTCTAAGTATTATAATGTATACTACTATTATAAAAAAATTGTTAGTTAAAAAAAATAAAATAAAAATTAAAAAGTGATAATATGGTACTAATTCTAATGTAAGGCCAAATTGCGAGTGTGCGTGTGCGCGTGCGCGCGCGCGTGTGTGTGTTTCTGATTAACGTTAAGTTTCTATACATAAAATTTATTTCCGATAGGAGATCTACTGCTTGGAGCCGGCGCAGTCGGACGAAGGAAAGCTTGAGGCGATATCGCATCGCAATCTGCCGGCTTCTAAGTTCGGCGCGCTGCTCGCCGAACAACGCGTGTCTGAAGTGCGCGCCGCGCAACCCGGGCAGCTACAGTTCGCCGATGTGAACGCTCTCGGCAGGAATGTCATCGCGCACGTATGTAGCTTAATTTACTTGTCCTAGCTATACTTAGTTTACCTAGATTTACTCAGTTTCTTTGGTTCATTTCGACTATGATCACAACCGCTGAAAATTTTCGGAAGCTATCAACTTCGCGGAACACATACTATATTGCCACATGTGGGTAAGTTAACAGATCCAACTCAGCTGAACAGCTTTCGGGAGATTGCAATACATTTTCACATGAAGCATTTCTTAAAATAAAAAAAGAGTGTATTACCAGTGAATTTTGCCAGTGATGATTTATGGATCGAAGACGTGGTCCTTCACTGCTGACCGTATGCTCAAAGTTCCTATGCGTTATGGATTTTTTAAAGAAGATATCCGCAGTAAAATCAGATTATCTGACACAACAAATCAGTTAGTTGAAGTGGCAAAAATTGGTCGGCCTTATAACTTGAAGAACCAGAAAAAAAAGAAAGGAGAGAAAGGTTCTCGATTGACAGTATCATACTGGTAAGTGAAGTGTGATAATGATGAAGTGACGACCTGGTAAGACATGCAGGAAATTGATGGATCCAGGTGTCTTAGCTCCGTGGTTTGGGTCATTCTTTGGGGAGACCTATGTAAAGCAGTGGATTTGTGAACGGCTGAAAATCATGATGGGGATGTCGATTATGAGGTAAAAATAAAAAATAACGAACAACGAAGTTCACTCGGTGGAATGATATCGGTAAAATAATTTAATGACGTCAAACCTAAATTAAAAAAAAAACTTTGTTTATTATGTGTGGGCGCCATATGGTGAAATACAGGTTTTGCGCCTAGTTCATGGATACTATTTTTCATGTTTTAGGATTAATTTTTTCGTGTAGTATATAAAGGGATATATTGTTAACTGATATATTATATGGAAATAAAGATTATTATTATAAATTCGCTACTGTAATACAAAAAGTACTATTATAGTTTAAAGATGTCTGCTCAGCACTTACGAACCCACTTGCCCAGCGTGTTAAGAGGAAATAGTATGTGAGAAATTGCGATTTAGATCCCGCGCCCCTTAAAAATTGTGCTTTATTATTTTACTAAACCTTAGGGAACCAAAAGAAAATGAATGAATAAGAAAGTATTCACTTAGATACCGCAAGCATATTATTTTTCGCCAACCTTTTTTTCGTTGGTAAATTTAATTTATTTCCCATTATTATTAATCACTAAAATACACTCGAACGTAAGCGCATACGCCAGCAAGCGACGCAGATTTCCTCTCTGACGGCCGAAGCTGGACTAGCTTGCTTGTAGTTCTAGCTTGATGTGTGATCGGGGAGAGTAGAAGGGCCACGGCTCAGGATATGGTGGCTGGGCGAGAGTACATTTTAGATATTTCTTGTTTATTTCTAACCAAAGGTTAATTTGGAAAATTCAAAACGTATTTTGCATAGGTATCTTATGGTTTAACTATTATTCAAAATCTGGTAACCTCACACGAATAATTGAAAGATAACTAGTATTTTTTCCGAAAATACAGAGGTAACTGGATTTTTTTTTCTATCGAAAGAATTTCAAGGAATCGTGTTTCTGAAAAATACTTTACATCGTGTAAATCCTTGACTTTCTTGAATATGAATCACGAAACGAATGATTAAACATTGTAAATACAATCGAGTTTACTAAAGTTACTAAAACAGTTATTTAACTGCTGTTACCTATTAAGTATGGCAAGTTTTTAACCGACTGCCCCAGAAGTTGGTAATGTTTTTCAGTTGCGCATGTATATATGTATGTAGGTCTATTTCTTTGGCATGCTCTGTAGCCTAAACGGCTTGATGGAATTTAATATATGGGATGTCGTTAGATTTGTCTTAGTTTTGTTTTTACACATTCGTTTTTTTAAATTACTGTTTTAACCATTGGGCTTGTTTTATCAATGCGTGCCAGCTAGCAGTGTCCAGCAATGCAATCCAAAGGCTCTTGATAATAGTGGTTGTAAAGTATTCCTTCCTTTCCTTCCAATTCTTACTTTCATTTCTTCCATTTCATATTTTTATTCTTATCGATTATTTTTTTTTATAGGATAGGGTGACAAACGAGCACACAGTCCACCTGATGGTAAGTGGTTGCTGTGGCCCATAGACATCTACATCTATCCTCGATTACGAATCAAAATGCAGATGTGTTGTCACCCGTGAGGACTAAGATGGAATGCCTCGTTTCCAGTAAAAAGGGTCTCCGGTTCTCTGCACTCACCATACGAAACACAGCAGCATTAAGCTACTATTTCACGCTGGTATTCTGTGAGAGCGTGGTCCTTCCCCGGTCGAGCCGACCCATTCGTGCTACAACTATACTACTAATATAACTGCAGCATGGCTCTACCACGTAAAGATTATGCCAATCGTATAAAAATATCAAACATTTAAAATGTAGATATGATTTATTTCTATTTTTTTTTAAATCTATTTCTAACTTTTTGTTCAAGGAGATTTTAATTTCCTTGGTTGTAAATTAGATTACTATTTCGTGTTTTAGTTCATGTCGGCTGCACCGCATATGATGCCACCGATGAGTTTACTCTGTACCTCCATACTGGAATACATTTTGGGACAAAAGGAAATTGAAGAGATTGAAGAGGATGACAAACAAAATGAAGTAGAAACTCCATCGAGTGATGATGAAGACATACATATGTTAGAAGTCGACAACGCTTCCACACCAAATATATCGACGGAACTTTGGACTCCAAACTACAATCAAGTGAAGGAAAAAAGATTAAATAAAATATTAAAAGAGCCTTTCCTCGACTTGCATGCAACTTCAACGGTGTTTGATTGAAAATAAAAACTTTGATAAATACGTATTGTATTACTTTTCCATTATTTACTATGAAATTGTTGATATAACGACTATATAATAACTTTCTGCATCATAAGTTTTATGTAGTTGGGGTACACTGAAAGTTTTGTCTGTTGTAACTCATAAATAAAACAACAAGGACATGTCTTTCACGTGCTTGTTGAAAGCTATTACGGCCTCTTCTGCGTAAATGACCCGTTAATGTCCAACCTCTCATCAAAACTTTGATTTTCGTGCAAAATAAAGAAATCGTATGGTGCGATGTATGGGCTATGTGCGGGCATCTCGCAACGAGCTCAACTTTTTCAGAAGTCCAAAATGGTTGTCATTTTCGCGGTATGTGCCGAAGCATTGCCATGGCGAAATAGGATGTCGTGCCCTGGCCGTTTTTCCCTCACTTTGTTTTAAAGACACTGGGCAAACAACTAAGCATTAGTCTTTTCCTGATCACTTTAATTTTGTTGGTTTGCTGTCGCCTTCAACACCCATATAGAAGACTGTAGCTTTCTTTCCGGAATGTAACAACATATCCACATTTCATCCGCTGTCACAATGTCATATTCGGCATTTGAACATGTTTATACTTTGACAATTTTTTTTGGTCTTTGTTCTAGATTGAGTTCGTGAAGAATCATATAATATTTCGCTCATACCAATACCCAAATATCCTCGAATGCTGCTCATAGGTGACGCGCCGTTTTTCTTCAGTTAGTCGCCTGACAGTAGCCACGTTTTGCTCGGTGATCGTAGTTAAGGTCGAACTTCACGAATTCCACTATGGAAAGAAACACGGTCGCGATCAATTTCTGCATACCAATGCCATACGATGCTCAAATACTCGTAGTGCTCCCTTCTAAAAGCATTGGTGAAGACGAGCAATGCAATCTTGCGGAAAAAATGATCTTTTAAAATCATAAAAAATCATCGCCCTAAAATTTTTCGCGTTAATTCTATTTTAGACGCGTATGACGAACAGCAACTTGTGAAAAAATCAAATGACACGCGACTTCTCGTTAAAAATATGAGTTTCTAATGTTAAATATCCAAACATTTATGAGCGGACGGCTAGGCGTAGTACTTTCAGTGTACCTTATGCAATTATGTAGCTTTTCTCAGATATCAATATTGCTGCTATTTGTTAAATCATGTCTAGTTAAGTCATCAGAAAGATCGATCGATGGAATATTACAAATAGAGCGTCAAGGTCGTAGTCTACGGGGCATGCTCGAACTCGTAACTTTTAATACTAAAATGCTACAGTTCTACAAGGTTGTGTATTACCGCCTACACTGTTTTTGTATGTATCGATAAGTTGCAAACTAATAACATTCCTTGCCGAGTTCTTTCATTGGTCTTGAAGAGAGAGACGCATTTCCATTTTCGCTCTTTGCATTTTCCATGGCATATATCACGGCAATTGTTAGGATTAATTGCTGTCGCAAAGTTCCCCCAAGGTCTATCATCACAATATCTATCTATCACAGTCTATCAAATGTAAATACATATAATACATATATACCATTCAGTTTCCCTCTATCCCCGTAGGTGTCGTCTCTTACGGGTCACACCCTCTTGTCGACTGTTAATACTGTCGTGGTTGTTTTCACCTCCGAATAGACGTATAGTACTATATAAGCGTGTCGATTATATCCTGGCTAAAGCGTGACGTAATTTTAAGGCCAGGTACTATGGGATATGCATATCACCTATCAGAGATTGTGAGATCGTTCTGAAATTGACCACAATTCTTACGTAGGTACCGGTTTCTTACGTACGTACATGACGACATTAAGTGATGAAGACGGCGCCAGTTAACTGTGATAATTCCAACATTACATTTTGTACATTTGTAGTACACATTGCTACAAATAAATGCAAACACAACTCTTATCTATCTTTGCCTATTCATTATCATTCTAATACAGAGGTTTCCAAACTATTAAAGTTCGCGGCGCACTTACAGGTTTAGTATTTTGTCTCCGCGCCCTAGCTTTGACAAAAATTTAAACATCCACAAAATGAAGGTGATAAAATATTGCAAAGAGAATAAGAATTCTTAGAGTTATTTAACTTAAAGTTGGATATTCATTTTGGACCCGTTTCCGAGCGTAAGTACTTATCGGCGAGTGGGTGACGTGTGCAGCGCGCGACTTATGTTTGCGGCAGATTAAGGAGGGTTGAAGTGGAAGGAGACTAAGACTTTTCCTATATAGCTTTTCTTTTCTAATTTACAAGTTAACTACTACTGTGACAATGTGAGTACACAGGAATACTAGACTAGTTAACTTACAAACTAACTTAATTACTACTGGGCTGTCTTAACAATTATACCTTGGTTTTTATAGTATTGAATATTCTTACGTCACGTAAGTAAATTGAGTTACATCTTTAAAGACGTGCTGGCTTTTGCTTAGCAGGCGGCGAGTGACTTCCTGATGGCACTGTGTTGAATATTCTTAAGTCACGTGCTGTTATTTGCTTAGCAGACGACGCTGTATGGTAGGTGACTTCCTGATCACTTGCAAGGTCTCTGTAGGCATATGTAACTCGCGCGATTTGAATTGTTTATTTTGAAACCGCGAATACCTGAGCTTAGTTTCCGTAGAATGGTAAACAGGAACGCCTCACAGGACCCCTCTGCTCTACGGCGCACCAAGGCCTTGCGGTGTACACTTTGGGAACCCCAGTTCTAATATATTTAATTTATTTACTATTTATTTATTTACAAAAGGAAAACTTACAGCTTTTAATTAATACTATATGGTGTATAATGTAATCCACAAACTAAGCCAATTAGAAGTTTTCACAGGTATTCACAGGTAGGACAGAGTAATCGGTTTGGGTAAATACATGCAATATATATAAGTAAATATAATTTACACATTAATGTTGATTAGATTTAAGAGTTCAAGAGTAAATTGCTACTGAATTTAGATGTTATCAATTTGCACATAGTAGTACCACTAGTAGAAAAAAGTCTTATCACAGTCCTTAGAAAATGTATTAAATGAGTTACATGCTCTTAAGAAGAATGAGTTTCGCCTGCAATTTGATCTACATAAAGATGCATTTAAGGGATTGTAATAACGCAGTGAACGAGAGGGAACTGAAATATGTAATCTTTTTAATAAGTCAGGGCAGTCTAAACGATGTTGAGCAATTTTACTTAGTAAGACCAGGTCAGCTATATAGCGGCTAATTTGTAGCGGGAGATGAAGATGAGAACACTGCAATTCATATTTTTTTGAATCGCCTCTTTTTGGGTTTTTTATTTCTTACGTGGATATTTTCAATCGAAATTTCACAATAAAACCTACATATCGAAGGATATTTTATCACATCTAGTAACTGTCAAACCTTTAAGTCTATAAGAAAAATTAAGCATATCAGGCTTCCGCCCGAAAGACATAGTATTACACTTCGAAACATTCAAGTCTTATTTGTTGCGGATACAATAATTATCTAAGTTAATGAGATCGTTTTGTAGGAGATTAGAATTATAAGAATTGTTGACTACTCTAAAAACTTTCATGTCATCGACGAAGAGCAAAAACTCGGAGTTCTGGAAGCAGAGGGCCAAGTAGCGAGCATTGCGGAACGCCATAAGTCCCTTCTCACATGCTCAGCAAGATGTAAATCCGTTTAAAATTAGCGCTTGTGATCTGTTAGAAATATAAGATAGATAATTTTTGCAAAAGTATAGAATGGTCTATGCGATCGAATGCTTTGCTGTAGTCCGTGAAAATGGCATCAATTTGGTTTCCTTTATCCATGTTATGAGTAATAAAGTTCGTGAATAGTAAAAGATTAGACGTAGTTGATCTTTTCTGAAGAAAACCATGCTGTTGAGGTATAAAGGTATGTTTAATTGCAGGATACAACTGGTATATACAATTCTTTCAAATACTTTGGCGATTAGACTTAATTTTGATATTGGAAGATAGTTTTCAATTTGATTTTTAGCACCTTTTTTATGAATGGGAGTTATAAATGCAGATTTCCATCTTGCAGGCATTGAACCCTCAGGAATAGATCTTTTAAAAATAATTGATAAAGGTTTTGATATAGTTTCGGCACACGTAATCAGAAAAATAGCCGGAAGCCAGTCAGGACCAGCTGACTTGTTTAAATCAAGTGATTTTAGCAGCCTTTTTAATTCACAAAAACTAATTTCGATTGATGAGATATCATTAACAGTTATGGCAGCTATATTATTTAAGTTTACTGTTGAGTTACTAGATTGAATGAAATTAGAATTAAAATATTGACCAAAGAGATTATTAATATCTTCTCCTGATTTAGCAGATATACCGGAGTACGTCATACAAGAAGGATATGAAATATTATTCTTTTTATTTCTGATATAGGACCAAAACGTTTTTTTTTTTCTTCTTTTTTTCGTTATTATTTTATAAGCGCACGGTCAAACATTGGGTGATGTTTTCTTTTGTGTTTAAATGACGAGGGAACATATTTATCGCGAATATTATATATTATGTTATAAAAAGTATTGACCGCATCATCAATGTTACCACTACTAAGAATTTCTTCCCAATTAGTCGAACCTATCTTTAAGTTTATTATATCATAATTTTCCTTACTGTAAGAGAATGAGACATGTTTAGAGTATGGAAGGGGCTGAAGCTCGACAAAGTTAACACAAATTGATAAAGCTTTGTAATGTAAAACTTTGTGATGCTTGTCTTCCGGGACCAAGGGGTCTTGGCAGTGTTCAAATATTACATAGTCATTGGATAAAACGAGATCAAGTAAACGGTTATAAGTGTTATACGCTCGATTAAATTGTTGCAAGTTACAGAAATTTAAAGTTTCAATAAAATATTGAACACGTTCACCTTTAGCACCGCAAGCTTCGAGACCTATTTGAGTATTAGACCAGAAAATAGAACTCATATTAAAATCGCCTATAATGAGGAATTTGTCATTAGGATTTGCTGATATAAGTGACTCTAATGTAT